AAAAACTTCGCGTGAACACCTTTTTCCGCCCACCTTAATAAAATGCAATGACATTGAATATGGCAAAGGGTCTAAATCGGTGTTTCTTCAGTGAAATTCCGTTGAAAATACACCAACTACCTTTTAAACGTATTCAGCAGGGTGTCAGGTCGTTGATTGTCTTCAGTTACCTCTCAAGAGTCCATGTGGGTAAGCGGGAGTCCACTCAAAGACAGGATATCTCCTTCATAATGACCTATGATTGTAGTTGTAATAGCTTAAAAAATCTTTAGAGAGTTTTGGGAAATGCGGATGAAGTGATGGTTCATTTCCATTCACCTGGGAGTGGCCAGAGGTGTTCTTGTGCGTATGGTTCAAATCGCAGCTCACAGTGTCCGGCTATTTATATTCACGTGTCCTCTGGGTAGCAACCAAACACCCGTTTGGGAGCGAGCTAAAGTGTGAAGGCGTGAAACTTCGCGTGCGCTTGGTTTGGCCCCCCACGTCAAAACTCCGCCCAATGAAAAGCAAAAAGCATACTCGGATGAGAACCCCTTTTTCTGATGATGATGCCCGGCTGGTTGATGTCCCCGGGACGACTAAGGCTGACATCACCGCCATCCAAGATATGCGATGGACGGTGCAAGGCAAGGTAAGTATGGAACCTTGCGACGTCTACTATAGTTGCCACGTAACGGAGCGCAAATTCGGTATGGGATTTGTGGTGGAAGAGAGACACCGTCGCCGAGTACTGGCGCTCACCCCGGTGGACGAACGTCTAGCCACAATCCGCATCAAAACGAGACTTCAATATTTCGAAGAGAAGGACAAGGCGTCCAAGAATCTCTCCTATGAGCGCTTGAACAGAACATATGAGCGCTGCCCCCGGCACGATATAAAAATCGTGCTTGGCGATTTCCATGACGAAAACGTCCGATAACGGATTGAGGCTGATCAACTTCGCCGTGGACCGAAACATGGTAATATCTAGTACTAGGTACAGCATAAAAAGATACACCAAGCTACATGGCTGTTCCCAGATCGAAAAACGAGAACCCAAATCGCCCATGTAAAGTAAAGGCCTGTAAATCTTCTGCGATTCTGCGTTGGATTTCCATGCTGACATTATTATCGGTGTTAATGCTGGTTCCCAAGTAGACGAAATTCTCTACTTTCTCGAAATTATAACTGTCAACAGTGATGTGGGTGCCAAGGCGCAAATGTGCTGACTGTTTGTTTGATGATTGGAGAAACTCCGTCTTGTCCTCGTTTACCACCAGACCTATTCGTTTAGCTTCCTTATCCAACTTGGAAAAGGCAGAACAGACTTCGCGGCTTTTGTTACCGATGATATCGATGTCATCGGTATAAGCCAGCAATTGCACGCTCTTGTAGTAAACTGTTCCTGAGCGGTTCAGCTCTGCAGCTCTTATTATCTTCTCCAATATCAGATTAAAGAAGTCACATGGAAGGGAGTCGGCTTGTCTGAAACCCCGTTTGGTGGCGAACGGCTCGGGTAGGTCTTTCTCAATTCTGACGGAGCCATCAGGGTAGTGAGGATGCCAAATTCAGACAGCGGCGTATAAGCTTTTCGCCTTTCTTTTGGATTAGGCAGAGCATACCTAAATTCCAGTCGTCGTACAATACGCCAAATCTTGCAAAAGGCCCGCGAGAATAGCATCGAAACGCACCATCTATTTGTCAAAGCCGCTTTCGACAGCAGCAAAAGAAGTCGTCTTTATGCCGCGATGTCTGAATTTGTTATCCCCGCGAAACTAATACGGCTGTGTAAAATGACGTTGAGCAATACCATCAGCTCTGTCAGAATTGGGAAGGACCTCTCCGAGCCGTTTGGTATCAACAAGGTATCAGACAAGGTGACTCCCATTCCTGTAATTTCTTTAATCTGATTTTGGAGAAGATAATAAGAGCCGTTAAACGAAGCGTTTTTGCTGCCCGACTCTTCTTCTACAAGGCTGGGTATACTCGCCGTCTCCAGGGTCCATTACAATAAATTTATAGTCTCGGGGCTCCGGTAAATCATACTTTATTAGATTATTACCTTACTTGCTATTCAACATATAACAAAAACTATATTAGGAAAAATCGCTAGCGTCACTTGCAGTGGCTGGGTAACGGCTCCCGTGTACCGTTACCGGTCCGTTATGTCGTGGTGGCGTGACTTTGCTGTTGCTCTGCCGCAGTCTGGGCGAGGGCTCTGGTGTCGTCGGTGGGGGCTTCACGGGAAGCTGTGGTGAGCGGTGATTGAAGCCGACTTTGGTGCTCACTACTTCTGAGTAGTGATGTCTTGTCCTGTTTTATAACTAAACACAAGCAATCCCTCCATTCAGTTGTAGCGACGCAACTCAGCCGCGAGCGGATGTGTTGTATCTTATATAGGCCGCCTGTGTGATTTTGCCTTGGTCGTGTGCGGCTACATGATGACCATGGGCTTTGTGTAGCCGTGGCTTGTCTCGTGTTGCTGCGTGCTTTGGCATCGTGGGGTGTAATTTTGACGGTTTCTGGTACTATCGTGGTGGGTATTTGTGTGGGCCAAATTCCTCAGAGATATCTGGTCCAAATAGCCGCAGAACTGAACCGCTCAAGAGCAATACTTTACAAGATCGTATACTTGCTGGAGTATGCCGACGATATCGAGGACAAGCTTAGCCTTTTCGAAAAAAAAGACGACAAAGAGCAGTGTTGCCACGGACAATTTTTTTTTCCTACCAAAATCAACCAAAATCTACCAAAATGTTATTTAAGTTTTTAATACTTTTTTAATGCGAAGATTATTAAAAATTTAGAATACATAACATTTAGAAAAACTAAAGCACAGCTAGTACAATAAAAACAAATTAACAACGTATAACAATTCATTTTATTGTACAGACTTACGCAAATATTTGTTCTTTACACATACATATTAGGTGTTAATATTATAATTATACACGCGCTGCGACATAAGAAGATCTATTGTGCTGAGTCCTAATTTTAATCACTCCAACCTTATTATTATCTTTAAGAAGTTAGGCACTTTGGAGGGCGCCATGTTTAAAATTTTGGTTGAAGTAGACAATCGCTCCCTAAGGTGCATCAGTCATCTATTTATGATACGTGTGAGGTCACATAGAACATGCTCTGGGGTTTCCTTCACCAGCTCACAAAAGGCGAGGGGCCATGCAAGTGCATTTTGGCTCCACACTTTGCGAGACAGTCAGCTTTCGTTGTCTTCAAACCCGTCAATAATAGTTATTATCACTTCACAACAGTCCGTTTCAGGAATTCTGAAGGATAACTCGGGATTATCCAGGAATGGCTTTAGAATCTGCAAACAATCCCGAAAGTCACAAATTTTCTTGCTGTTCTTATTGGGCAGTCGTAGGGCGCTCCAGCAGACCTTTTTTCAAACAGAATAGACAAAAGAGGAGTGCCCGTAATGACACCAAAGGCATGCGTCCAACAGGTGCCCTGTAATGGCCACGCGGCAGCCTTTACTTGCGAAGCCTTAAGTCACCAGGCCAGTACCGCATATGTGACAACGGGTCAATAGGTTAGTTTTGGTGATATTCCTCCAGTCTTACAATGAAGTCTATGCCAGGTGGACAATGGTGAACTCCACCGGTGAAATTTTCGTGTAAATAAGGTTGACATACATATTTTATATTTTTCGCAAATAACTATTATTGTCGCGGAACCTACCAAAATCCAATCTAGCCAACAAACCTACCAAATGGAAAAAAACCTACCAGTTTTGGTAGGAAAAGCCCATGTTTGGTAACCTTGACAAAGAGGCTCCTTCGGGTATTACCTCAATTAAAGAAGTACTTTTCTATCCTACCGAAAAGTCATAGAATTTCACTGATATGAGAACCGAAGATAAAATAGGTAACGAGGAGTCCCTAGTATTATTTCAGTAGAAAAAGAGATTCCACGTTGACAGGCTGGGACGAGAGAACAATGCCTTTCGTCGTGGAAAGAGATGGTACATTTGGCCGGCACACAAAAAAAAAGTTCAAATGCGAAGACTGCCTCATGGTAGGGGTGTCTAAAGACCTATAGGTATTCCTACCTCGAGAGATTGGTTCTTTATGGTTTCGAGAAAATCCAATAAATTTAAGAAAAAACATCCACAAAACATATTCATGTACATTAGACTGCATCACACCGCACAAAAAAAAATTTCGGTGCTGTTTTTCCATTGGCATTATAAAATCTATTATCTATCACTGATTCCGTCGAAGTCCGAATTTTCCTGAAATCTACGAAGATACTATCACTGAATCCGATATGACTACGAACGAAGCAAACACTTTGAGTGCATACGTTCGTAGCATTTCGGATTCAGTGATCGCGTTTTCGTACATTTTGCGTAAATCGGACTACGATGGTTTCAGTGATAGCCCAGATTAACGTGAGCTGGATCAACTTGAAAATACCTCAAAAAATTTAGGTTTTTTCGAGTCAAAATATTTGCTTTAAGCATTTTTTGGAAAAAAATCACCTCAGATGGCAAAACAGTTTAAGCTCAAAAAAATTTGCATAAAAATATTTAAAAAATTTTTTTTTTGAATGGAATCACAGTAAATTAAATATATGCAGTTTTTGGATTTTTTTGCAAAGATTGGTTTAAGAAAAACTTGAATTACGATGTGTTGATATTTGCAAGAAAAATATTGGAACGAGCTTGAGTTGCCTTGCAAAGAAATAAAAATGGTAAATGAATCCTCAGAAGTCTAAATCTGTATAGTTTTGGCACAGTTATTCAAATTTTTCTTAAACCAAGTTTTAAAAAAACTTAGAGAACAACATCAAAAATCTCATTATTATGATTCAGTTGAAATATTTTTTTTAATAATTTTTATGCAGATTTTTTAAGCTTAAACTGATTTGTTATCTGGGGTTTTTTTTCCAAAATTCCTTTAAGAAACTACTTTTATCCATAAAAACTCCATTTTTGAAAGTATTTTCAAATCGGTCCAGCTCACGTAAATCTTAATATTTTTCCGAAATACGCAACTTTTTTGGTGATGCAGTCTAATGTACATATGCAGAGTCACTTAATCTGAACTCGAACTTTTTTTGGGTGCCCGTGTAATCTCTGCTACAATTTCCCAGCACAGAACTTTTAGAATCGCATCAATCTCCACAGTCTACATTTTTCTTAAACTCCTCGGCCTTAAATTCTTTACCAGCTTATGTGACTTTGAACTAAGTAATTAGATAAACAAAAATTCAGATATGTGAAGTTGCAACTTCCTTCTTGCTTTCATTTCTTCTTTCAAAAAGCCAAATTTCAACTAACTACCCCACTAAGTAAATACCTTAAAACCGCTCCGTGTGAGCTCCAACAGCTGACGTCAATTCGTCATAGCAACGCTCCTCCGGCGACCTAAACAAATCAACAGCGGCGACACTCTTTGCCATTTAACAAGCAAATAGTTGAAATTTTCACTTGAACTACATACTTCCTCGTTCGAGCGGCTGTGTCAGTTCACAGAGTTAGTGCATTATGCATTAAGCGTTCGCGCGTCATGTCGCTCTTCAACGTTTGCAACTGGTGGCACACACAGTGCTCCGATCTGGAGGAGAACTATGATGTAGCCAGTTTACTGTGCGCTCGCTTCGGACTTGACGATAATGAAAAGGACTATGTGGTTGTGGGTTCGCATAGCGGTAACTTGAGCATTTTCTATCCACGCTTGGATCAAAATCGACGCCATGAAGATGGTGAGGCTTTTAGACCGACCGACTTGCTGTTGGAGGTGAATCTTAAAGCGCCGATACTGGGCATATATGCGGGGCGGTTTAGTGGGTGAGTTGGAACCCACTGTGACATTTTTCTTACCATAAACCCCTTTTAAATTTGCTACTTTAATTCAGTGGACAATTGGCTGATGAAAAGCACAATCAACTTGCCGTTTTACATCCGCGTTCGGTGTCCATTTATAAGCTCCAGACCATTGGTGGCGTCGCTGAGCATGGCGCCCAGCTACGTCTGGTTTGTTTGGCCGATTATAAGCTGAAACGTGGTGCGTTGGCGTTGACGAAGGGTGCTTTTGGGCGTGTCAAGGGACGTGAGTTCTTCTGTATTACGCATTTGGATGGCACGCTGACGTTCCATGAGCAGGATGGTATTTTGTACGAATGTCAATTGCCGGGTAATCGTGCATTACCTGTGCCAGTTGTCTATTGTGAACGGACGGATAGCTTTTTTCGCTTTACAGCCGGTTGGAATTTGGAGTGTTTTACGTATGTATTTTGAACTTTAGTAGTTGGTGCGGTGAGGCGTAAATAATTTATTTTGGGAATTATTTTAAACAGCTATCAGGACCTTTCGCACTCTTCCTTAAATCGTTCGGAATTCCAGCCCTCTTGGTCGATTTGCATCGGTGAAGGTATTGTCGACATATGTGTGGTGCAGACGAAGTCGTAAGTAATACTTACTAAAAGTTCATCTTACAAAAGAAGGTAAACAACTGCATGATCTCTAAATACTTTCTAATTAAAAGAAATTCAGCCTCAATTATGATACTGGGCGAGCGCAACTTTATTAGGCTAACCGATGATGGATTGGTAGATTTCATTCTGAAATTGGATTATACGCCAAGATGCTTTCATTCCTTCGTTATCGGCTACTATTGGGGTAATTACTTAAATCGATTTGTTTTAATAGTTCTAAACTGAAATTGGACCCATTATTCAATAAATCGGCGTCAGTTATTAGATGATTAGAATAGTGGTGAGTAACGTAATGTCTGCTTTGCGAGTGTGTAAAGGTGCACGTAAACGATGGGAGCAACTCTCATGAATGTACCGCCATGTTGGTGTGAGAATTTTCATTAGTGTTTACACGCGCATTGATTCTAAGAAAATTCTCATTCGTTCTCATGTCTGTTTACACGAGGAGCTCTCACGCGGTCATGTTTGAGAGTTAAGTATGTAGTAATATAATATACCGAATAAATATTCTGGGGGCTATAATAACGAAATTTTTTGGACTATTTTGGGGTTTACGAAACCGGCACTTTATAGGGATCTTCGGGACTACTTCGGAATTATTAGACTATTTTAGGATTTTCGTGGCTATTTCGGGATCCTTGGGACTGTTTGGAGATTTTCGGAATTCCCAGGACTATATCGGGATCTTCGGGATATTTGGACTATTTCGAGATTTTAGGGACTAATTCGGAGCATTTGGGAATAGTTCAGGTTTTTCGAAACTATCGGAATTTTTTGGACTACTTCGGGATTTTGGGATCTTCGGGACTACTTCGAAGTTTTTGGGACTATTTCGGTAATTTTAAGAGCACTTGGGATTTTTGAGACATCGGGATTTTTAGAGGTCTCGGGACTACTTGGGGTTTTTCGAGACTACTTCGAGATTTGCAGGGTTCTGGGGGCTCTATCGGGATCTCCGGGACCATTTCGAGATTTTCGAAACTACTTTAAAATTGTAGGTATCCAAGCCCCACAATCCTAAAATCTCGAAGTATTCTCGAAAAACCTGAAATATTCCAAAATTTTCCAAATTAGTCCCAAAAATTTTAAAATGGTCCAAATATACCGTGGTTGTACCAAAGATCCCGATATAGTAACGCGCATGCCGAAAATCTCGAAGAAGTCTCGGAAATCCCGAAATAGTTCCAAAAACCTCCATTGTAGTCTCGGGGATCTCGAAAAACCAAAAGTAGGCCCAAAAATGTCGGATAAGAGCAAGAAAAAAAGAGATCTAGATATGACTGGGATGTACACTTACACCTGTTTAATTAATGATCTGGGATTCATGCATGTGTTATCATCGAAGATTCGGAAGGAAATTCAGTCTCGCATACAAATCAGTGAGCCAGTTATAGGTCATAGGCCGGGGTCTTGTACATCTTCTCAAGCTCAATCGATTGCAATTATTTACGCTGATAAACCAATAACACGAACTTTAGAATTCCAGTTTGAGTTGAGAGTCAAAACGTTGATGTTAAACTAAATACCTGAGATTTCCTGTTGTTCTCTCATTAGCTATCCATTATTTCCACTTCGGGTCCTACTAGTTATATGTTTTAATGAATCGAAAGTCTAATTAAAGGAATCTGCCGTGGCTAAACTCGATTGGGAAAGCTTCTTTTATTATTGGAATCATTTAAAAAAAATAAGAAACGCTTGTCCAAACCTCTTATAACTCCCCCCGCATTTTCTCTCCATTCAGAACCGGGCGCACGCTTAATTACCGCCATTGCCTCCGAAAGTGGCAAACTCTTCATTTACGAGGCTGCTAACATTATTTGGGCCGCTCAGTATAAAGACGACGCACCGGTAGCGATTCAGCGCTCCAACTTGCATGGCTTAGCCGGCGGTATTGTTGCACTCGGCAGCACAGGTCAACTACGTATAGGCTATCTTGGCTCCGA